AAATTTATGTTACTGCTGTTGTTCTTAACGGATTTGTGGATAATGTAAATAAATAAAAATGAAAGAAAGAAAAATATGTGCAGATTTTTAAGATGCTATATTATGTTATTGAAAAAACAGATTTGCAATTTAATTTTTTCTTCATTGTTTTAAACAACAAATAATTTAGTGAGAATGACGCACGATTGATTAATAATAAATTATTTACTGGTTTAAATCCGACGTGGGTAAATATTCGGAATAATTTTTTTGATTAAGGCTGTTATGTGTATTTATAAATCAGTTGCTTGTACGAAATTTTAATTAATTGCATCATAATACATATGTAAACTCCAATTTCTGAAAACAATCTGAAAAAATTTCGTAAGAAATTCTAAGAATTCCTTTTGAAATATTTCTAAACATAATCTGGGTTCTACTATCACTTTATTTTATTTTTTATCTAAATCTACATCGGTTTTAAACTCCAGCAAAAATCGTGCTAAAAATATTACCTAAATGTTAATAGGTAATTTAAAAAACTTACACATTTACAAACATCCGAGTAACTTTCATCAGTCACAAATTCACGAATTTTCTCTCCATACGAGTCCCTCTAGGAGAAAGTCAGTCCTTCTAAAATCGAAAATTTCCATGCAGTAAAAATAAAAAGAGAGAAAATGACATATGGTTTCTACATTATTTTATGAAAATCATGTCTCTCGCACCCATTTTCATCACACGCCATCATGCACCCACCCTCGGCTCAATTTCCGAGATATAAACTTTCCCTCAGATTTCTCACATTGTCGAGAAACAAATGAATTTCGTGAAACCTAAGCTCTTAACCGTTTCTCGTTTGACGGGGCCATTTGTCGTGAAAATTGGTTCTCATATTTCTCAATCAGAAACAGATCCTCATTTTTCCCGTGCTCATTTTTTCTCCTTCTTACATATTTATTCCCCACCCTCTAAATAATTTGGGAGAAAAATTGTCCCCAGGACGAGGTAGTTCTACTCTGGGCATGGCAATGCGGAGAAAATTAGCCTTATGGTTGCAATGATTTGGAAAAAATTAAGAAAATTCTCTCTGGAAAATTCATTTCTTAAATTCTAATTTTGTAGCATTTGCTAATGTCATGTAAATATAAAAATTAAACTAATGTTTCATGCACCGCTTTCTACGATTGTATCAAATTTTAGCAATTCACGATGTCAATTTTTGCAACTCGATAAACTGTATAAGTTTAGCAAATATTTTCTTTATATATTTTTCTCGTAAATTACGTTTAAAGAGACGTTTCAATGTGTAAATCGACAATAAATCAATTTGTACTCTGATTTTTTAAATCTTAATTTTTATAAACTTGTCGCAATATTTGTACCTTAATTACAGCTTGATCGGTTACAAACGTCAAAACGAACTGGCTTAAATACGGATTTTCTTCATAATTCAAATCTTGTCCTCACTTTCACTAATATATTTTTTAAATTATTATAATTAATTTCCCAAGAATGCAAGTACTACTTTTCCACCCTAAAATTTGTTCAGAGTTACTTTCGTTAGTCATCAAAAGTGCTGTATAGTAAAAATCTCACAAGTTAAATTTCCCAAGTTTGACGTCAATAGTATAAAATTAATAAGATCGGAATTAAATGTATGATCCAAGATCTGTTCAAGGGGCTGTTAGCGTCCGCATGTGAGATCTTGAAGGGAAATGTGAGATGCAAATCGAAATCAATAATGGATACGCTTCACAAAAGAAAAAAGTGGACAATGGAGGAGAATCATCCCTGAATAAGTATAGTGACCATCTGCATTAATTCTCATCGTGTCCGGGGTGGGCAGCCATGTACGCACATAAAAAATAAATCCTACCAGGAAAAGGACATGATCTCGGGCGATAAATAAATCCGGATCGGCCAGTGCAATCTAGTTGACACTGGAGGCGACCAGGGTTCACAAAGTACCTTGGTGTTAAAATGTCTTTTATTTTATACAGGGCGTTAAAAATAAATAAATTTCGATTAATTCGTATTTTTAAAGAGATATGTGTTTAATCCGTATTTTTTTAGAAATCTAAATTAAGTTTTAACTGGAAACTTGATACTACTTTTTAGTAGGTGTGCAATATTTTAACATCGTAGTTCCGTATTTAAGATATAATGTACAGTTGCAAATTGGAAACGAGGAAGCTCGTGAGGTATCTACTGTACTCTGTCGCTATTAAACGGCTTAAAAATTTATATTCAGCGTTTAACCCATACTACCACACTGACTTTTCCGGAAACATGCGACAAATTTTAATTTCCCAGAAACTATAATTACCATTAGGTGGAAAATTATTAAAAAGCTGTTATAGGACCTCACTCTTTTTGGTCTTCTGTCGCTAAGAATTTTTTACCATCATTATTTTGACCATGTGAACCCTGAAGGGGAACAGAAATGAAAATCCTGTAAGTAAAATATAAGCTGTATGATGGAATGTACGTAAAGAATGTGGTCGTTTTTGTGGGTAGTACTTAAGTAAAGGGTTAATGTATTTTCTTATACTGATTAGAAAAATATGGGTCACCTGAGGGGCAAAGGGATACATTTTTCAGGAAATATATCACATATTTCTAAAACCCAGTCGTACTTTATGTACGGTCCGTAAGGTGGTAACAGCCTTTCGAACAGACAGATAATCGTGGGCGAGGGTGTGAGAAAGTGCCAACTCAATCTGCTATCCGACTTACTGCGAGGAGGATTGTGATCTTGGTGATAATCGCACGTGTGGATATGTGTGTGACCTTATCATTGTCATGTCCGGCCTTCTTATCAGCTTTGCTTGGCATGGTTAAAATTTAATGCTCCAAAATTCATTATTTGATGTAAAATTGATGAGCATTAAAAAAATCATAATCTTGTACAAGTATTACCCAGATGCACATAGAAATATGAAAATTTGGTTGGAAATTTTGATTTGGAATTTATATTTGTCTTTATAAAATTTATGTTTAATTTTTATCGGTAATTTATTTATCAGTTTTACAAATTTGTCGCCATTTTTTCGTTGATTCAATTTTAGTCAACTTGAGACATTGCGACGTCGATTTTCAATTTTACTTGTAATCGAAGAAAGACTTAAGATTAAAATTAGATTAGCGCACGAGGAAATTGTTGCCGAATATTTATTTTGAATTTTAATTTGTATTCCTCTAAATTGCAGCACAGACAAATATGCACAAATAAAATATTTGCACATATTAAGTAAAAATATTTTTCCAAGAAATAAATCTTCTCTCAATTTCTCTAAAATTTCTGCTTCTATATCTGCTTCCTTCTCTTTTAAAACCTTGTTCTTTCACCAAATGACAAAGCATTCAAAAAGATTTTGTTTTCTCTTTCCTTTGATTTTAAAATGATACAAGTTTGAAAATTTCTTGATTTGGAAAAAATAAAGTTTGCAAAAAATATTTGTCTTGATAAAATTGATGTTGTATTGTTATCCCTAATTTATTTTGTAGTTGTCCATTAGTGCAAATTTGTTGCAATTTTGTCATTGACACAAATATTAAATTTTAGTCTAATTGAGAGACCGTGACGTCGATTTTAAATTTTAAGTGTAATGAATTATTCATTAAGACCCGAAGGTGGTTCGTTCTGGAAATAGTAGTTGAATTTCACATAATTTTGAATTTTGAATTTGTATTCCCCCAAATTGCAGCACAGACAAATATGCGCAAATGAAACGTATTGGTTCCCTAAAATTTTTGCACACATTAAAAAATATATATTTTCAGGAAATAATTTATCTCACAATTTTCCCCAAAATTTCTGATTTTACATCCGCTTCCTACTCCTTTAAAACGTTGTCCTTTCACTAAATGACAAAGGATTCGAGAAGATTTCGTTTTGCAGGGAGCGAGAAGAAGAAGGCCGATCTCCCGGGACCAGTTCCCTCATCCGTTACACGATCCGACTGTAGGGGCGGATTCCATAGCTAGATGAGCTTAAGTTAAGACGTATGACGACATTTGAACAGAACGCTGAACTGGACGCGGAATTGAATTGGTTCCCAGTTTCCACTCCACTCTCATTTTCACTCTTTTATTCTCAAATGGGAACGAGGAGCCGACATTTGGCCGACACTAACCAAAATCTGTAGCCAATTCCGGCCAAAACTTTGTCTGACTTTCCCTTGCATGCCAGATCGGCCAAAGTGTAACAACTTGCGAGGCGATGAGGAGGAGGACACTCTTAGAAATGAGGGATAATATTAGGGAACAGAGATGGAGAGGATTTACCGGGTTGGTAATATTTGATGAGAAAATGGTAATGCTACAGAATTTGGAGTGTGGTTATCTGTTTGTTACCAGTGATACATGGTGTATTATCACACACAAGAGTTTTACCAATGAGCTGGTAGTGTTACCAATGATTTGGTAGTGTTATCAATGATTTTGTGGGCTACCAATGATTTGGTAGTGTTACCAATGATTCGGTAGTGTTACTAGTGAGATAATAGTGTTTTTTAATACCAAGAGTTGTTAGTGTTACCAATGATTTGGTAGTGTTGGGTTGGTGGTGTTACCAATGAGTTGGTAGTGTTACCATTTGATTTCATTACAAAATAATTTCCTAATCATATAATTATTTTTATTCCAAATTAACACTTTATTGTTGTCACAGATTCATAAACCGTTACCAATTTGGTAATACCACTTCCCAGCCAACAATTCTTTGTGTTTTCTGGATCAATTCGGCCACAATTTTCGACCTATTCGGGACCGATTTCTTGACGATTCGTACAGAAATCCCAAAGAAATCGGTGGGAAATGTCCGCAGAATCGTACAGAATTCTTGACGATTCGTCACGACTTTTTATGCCGAACTCTGTACGAATTCTGTACGAATTCTTTCCGATTCTTTCTCGACTTCGTGACGATTTCTGATGGAAATCCTAACGAATTTTGTACGAATTCTGCCCGAAATCACTACGATTTACATTTAAATAAAAAATTAGATAGACGAGTTGCCCTTTTAAATAATTTTATTACTTTTGTGATCATAACAAAAAATAAACTAATTATTTGTAAATTAATTCTGTGATGATGGCGAGGGCAGGTTGTTGGTGACTGGCTGTTTCCTGTGAAATTAAAAGAGGTTATAAATATTTTGCACCATATATTGATAATAGCAAAAATTTCTCACTTATTTCTTTTATACACACGATCGCCGGCCTTAGTCAACTCCCTCGAGATTCCGTCATCAATTTTTGAGTGGTCAGGTGTCAAAGGGCTCATCAGAATTGCCGCACCGCCTAATAATTAAAAAATAGTAATAAATTCAAGGGAAGAAACCCTAATTATATGATTCACCCTACTTATTCATACTTACTGTGTAGGACATATTTTATATCCGCTAGCGTAGAAAACGAAAGCTTTTTCTGCATTCCTTTTAGACTATATTTGGACAATAAATCGTCGGTCATCAATTTTTTCATCATCTTGCTAATGACATCAACTTCCTCGTATCCTCTCACTCCTCCAGAGACGATGGTGATCTGAATACCCCAAAGAACAATTACCACAAGCAAAACGAGATAAAAACGGATAAAACTTGCTACAACATTTTACAAAATGAAATACTTACCAGGTCACCTTTTGCTACGTCAGACGACTTTACCATGTCATTTAGCTTTTCCAATTCGACAGTATTTGTAAGAGGAAACGTAAATTTCTGTAGTTCCATTGAAATCCGTGTATTTGAGGCAGAGCGACCTTTCCCTCCATCGAGAATTGTGTGCAGAATTTGACCTTGTTCTGCCAATGCAAGTTGAATTCCCTTGACCATCCGCAGCACTGTAATTAAAATAACCGAAGGTTTATTTAGATATTCTTTGGATAGTAGAAATAGTACAAAATTTTTAAAAAAGCTCACATTGAGTAATTTCGCAGGGATCCGTCTGAACCTCCTTCTCATTGGTGTCAATCGCTGGAGAGACGAAATACACCACGTCTTGATCTTGTGTGACAGAAGACGCCTCTCTTGACAAGTTCTCGTTCTCTTCTAGAATAACGTTGTCGTCGATAGGAATAACGCTTCCAGACTCATCAATTTCGGGTGGCGTGGGAAGAGAAACCTGTCGTTTTGATTTCGATGCCGACGTGGCGCTTCTTTGTTCTTCAAAATCCGAAGTATAGGTTGCTGCTTTCAAATTCTGCCGAGCTTCGTTGTAGCTTCCTGAAAAATTGGACAAAAATTCAATGGTTTATAAAATTATGAATGTAGTTTGGAATGTAAAATGGAATGTAAGGCAAATGACATGTGAGCTTACCGTACGCATTTCCGACGATCAGAGCTTTGCATTTTACCCACGTCTCGAAATTCGGTTCGGCATAATTTTTAACAAGTTTATTTACATTATTCGGTGGGGGTGGCCAATAACAGACTTCTCCAACCATCCACGGCTTGGCAACAACGGCAACAGCATCATTCTCTTCAGGAAATTTCACAATTTGGAATTCCATTATTTAACTACAATGTAAAAGGGGGAACACAACAGTTTTTAAATTGGATTCGTTTAAAACAACACACTTGTAATTAATCTCGGAGATAGGGATTTGTATTTCACTTGACAATTTTGACAAATCTACATTAATTGTTGAGATAAGTGAAGAATCACAAGGGTAGGTAAACGCACTTTCAAAGCCACACAATTTTCGACAGACTACCGTCACCTCTCCGGTTTTTTCTAAGAACTTTTGCGCGACTGCAAATTGTCGGTTAGCGAAACAAAATGTACCGTTATGAAGTTTTTATATTTCACAGCACTATAACTTCCGTCAGATTGGATTTTTGACAGTACTGGAACTTCTACTTTGTTCACAAAAGGCCCCTGCACTACAGAATCTTTTTCAATTAACCGCCTGTGAACTTGAGCCAAAGAACCAGATGATTTTCGAATTAATCTCTTAATTTCACCAAGTTTATTTTCATACTTGAAGGCACTAAATGTGTCTAATCCACCAAGTCGACGGACATCTGTTGCCAAATGTATTAGTCCATGAATGTTGTACGAAATATTCACTTTTCCATACAATATTTTAAATTGGCTAACAAAATAATGTAATAGAGAATCAGCATAAGTAATAAGTTGCTCTTTTTGTTTTGGTGAAGCCAAAATTCGGATTGCAAAGTTGAGACACAAAAATAATTGGTGATGTTGTTCTGGTAAATGTTTCTTCAAAGCCAAGGGACCCGTATAAAGAAGAAATGTACGTAATTCAGTTGCTTTCCACCTGTCAATTTCTGAAAGTGGTCTTTGTTTCCGGTTGAACTCTACAGGTAAACACTTGCCAACTTTTACGAGTTTTTTTGATATTTTTAAAACACTTTCGGCCCTAGACGAAATACTTTAACTTTTTCACTTGTCCACAGTTTTACCAACTTTTTTGTAACTCCTAAGCAAATCAAATGCATGTATTCATAGGGAAAACTTTCTACCATGTCGAGGGGAAGCTTTTCTAAGTCACTAATTCCATTATGATGTTTTTCTTGCACCCGTCCTCTAAAAGTGTCATTTGTTCTTAATTCGGCATCCGTTTTTAACATAACCATCCGGTTGTCAATATATTTACCCTTAACTATGCACTTTCCACAACCATAATAACCGGTATGATTTTTAATGCTTGTAATAAACGCACGAGCAGGGGCGTCACAAATAAATGCTTCTATTTGAAAATTGATTTTACGGCTATTGTAAATAATTCCATTACTAATTAGTTCGAGAGATTCTTCCACAAAATCGCGAAGATAATTATTTAAGTCGTTTGGCTTACTGCAACCTTCGTAAATTCCAATTACAAACACATCACTAACGTTTTTCACACTTCCAAGAATGGGCCAAAGCTGTTTATTTGTACTTTTGTGAATCGGAATGCCGTCAATATTAATGTGAACAACAACTGTCTCGGGGCATGAATTTGATTTGTTTAAAACTTTTATAATTCCGGCTGCAAGTCCTAAATGGCAGTATTGTCCAGGCTCAACTTGTCGAATAACGGTAGTAGTGGGCGTTTGAAGTAATGTTCTTGCTTCTGATGGCAAGTCTGAGAAACATTGATGAGTTTTTAATATTTTAAGGAGGTCGGAAATAGCTGAGTGAGTCACGTTATGTCCAGTTCCCCATTTCTGAAGTTTTATTCTAAGGTCAATGCTGTCCTCCAATAAATCTATGCAGTCACTATCAGAACTGTTGCTTTCGTCAATTAAAGGTGAAAATTCCCCAATGTCAAACTTTTCTAAGTAATTATTTTGCGCTGGCACATAATTTAGTAAATCACTATCTGCATTACTTATAATTTCACTTACTGATTCGAGTTGTAGTTTGTGATTATGAGGTGTAGATTCGTGTTGTTCTTTGCTTCTTACGTCGTTGGTTATCACAGGTTGTTGTTGGAGGGAGGATTTATTATTCAGATAACTTTCCAAATTAATGTTGTTCTTTAAAATCCTCCGTTTTTGTCTGAGGGAGAGCAGTAATAAATTGCGTGGGCTCATGGCCACTTCCAAGAACAAACTGCCGCCTTAGCTAGAATTCCTTAAGAATTCGTACAATACAATTGAGATTACCGAAATCTCCAAGAAATCGTGGCGAATTCGGGCTATCCTTCTGTCTAAATTCGATCAAGATTTTCCTTTGAGAATTCGGAGTGAAATCACAAAGAAATCGTACCGAATTTTAGTCATCTTTCGGCCTAAATTCGTTGAAGATATTTCGGTGCGAATTCGTAGTGAAATCGCATCGAATTCTTCAAGAATTCTGACAGCTTTCGAGCTCGGTGTAATTTCGACCTGTTCGTACAGAATTCTTTCAAAGAATTTTGGCCGAATTGTTGGCTGGGTTATTACCAAAAACATAACGTCTCCACAAATAGAAACAGATCAGTCAATAATTTTATCCCCAACTTTTTAAGCGTGCCTTCTCAGCCGTGGTGGAGAGAAAAGTAATGTGATTATGGAGCAGAGGGTCACATCTGTCCCATAATAACGATGACATTACCTAACATTACTAATATACGTCTTTACATATACGGTCATAGGTCATGATAGGTCAGAGTGGAATTTATACCGACAAAATTTATCTCAATTTCACTAATTTATTTGGTATGGAGTTTGTCACCCCCACACATTTTCCACACTAATCGATTCAGATCACATAATCCTTCCAGATCAGTGTCACACCGCTGACATTCAGTAGACAGCAGTTGTTCTCTCTCAGAAAGTAAAAGCTCACTTACAAAATTCGATTCAAATTCGGAACAGAGAAAGTCAAGTGAAATCAAATTGAATATATTTCACCAGTCCGGTGACAGTGCTGCTTTCTCGACACGTGGTATTTTTTTTGATAAAGTGGGTGAAATGAGGAGAATTTGATGTGCAACGATTTCACCCACTCTTTGTGACGAAAAAATTTCTGTTTCGTCCATTTTCAGAAATTTTTCCGCAACCATTTTTATAAAATTATTTGGTGAAAGTGGAAATTCAAAAAAATCAAGAAAAACTTACATGTTTTTTTGTGATTTTACTAAATTTGGCAACATTTTGAACATTACAAAAATTACGAGTCTAAATTCCATACATTTTTTGATCCACCAAAATTTAACTATACTTGCCTACATGGGAAAAATACACCTTCGTATAGTTTACAAATAGCGACATTTTTAAAATGTAGAATTGGTTGGCATTTAACGATACAAGTGTATTTTTTTTATTATGTATCACTAATTATTTTGAATTATTTGTAATTATATATCAGTAGTCTTAAAATAGAAATTTATTGCTCAGTAAAGTGACGAAATACCATTTTGAAAATGGTATTTCAGAAAGAATGGGAGTTTGTTAGCTAAATCCTTACAGTATTCACAATTTATGAAAAATACCACATCTGGCTTTTAGGCAATACAAAATTTCAAGTTTATTTCCCACAGTTTCTTCCATGTTTTTTGAACCTCGAAAAAATGCAAATCAGCCTCAACCCCCTTCCCAGGAACAATCCCCTCCCCCCACCAAAAAAACGAAAAAAAAATCTTCAAAATATAACCCACAATTACTCCCACCCACATCTCGGAAACCCTATTTATAAGTTTCCGAGAGATATCCATCCCTCCTGTTTGTCCGACACTGGAGAGAGAATGTCAATAATATAAAACCAAACCAACATATACGTAGGTGTGGTTTGGTCTGGTCTGGTGGCGCGGTCTGGTCTCGGCCATCCGCTAAACTCGGGTTTTCGGAGTAAACCCAAAACCTGTCAGGATTTGGGCTCTCTCTTTGGTCACCAAGTGTCTCTCTCCGAATTCACATTATTATTACGTTACTAAATGTCACCAGGTATGCTATACGTGCATACATACATACAATCGTATTGGTAATGGCACGTCACATATCACCGACACCCGGGTGCGTACGGACGTATGTACATAAATTCCTACCCGGGTATCACGGAGGATCTGTTTCCATTGTCCAGTGAGAATGAAAAGAGAAAGTCGATGGTTATACAAATCCAATCCACTTAATATTGATCTGCTCATCCGGCACCCAAATCCAATAATTCACTGGTCCAAGGAATTCGCTAAAGTGGAGGGGACGGATGGTCAAAATTAGTTCGGGTGGAGTGAACTTGGAGGGAATATTGACCATCGGGATGGTTGAGAGGGATGAATTTTTTTATTATGTGAAAAATTTATGGAATGATTTTTGTAACATTTGACTTTTGTAGGTATTTTATTTGGATTTATTTTTTTCCGGAATTTTGTAAATGTTAGGCGTCAAGTTTATTATTTTGTGAAATATTTTCAATACACGATAAGTTTATTTTACAGATGACTTATTCCCTTAAACTTTATAATTTATTTAAAATGATGCAATCTAGATATATCTGCGAGTGAATTCAGCTACAAATTCACAGCTCGAAAAGCTGCAAATTCACAGGTTTCAGAATTTTGTATTTTGATTTTTCTAATTTTTCTTTCTTAAAATTTTACAACAAAATGCAGCGGACCAAAAAGTAGCACATAACTTAAAATAAACATTCAGTGATAGTTGACAGCCAATTGTGACCATCAACTGTGCCTGACTGTTCGGAAGTGAAATTTTCAGCCATGTAAATTAATTTTTTTCAGAGCTGTGACATCACAGCTTTTCGTGCCTTAAAAGCCTTGAATCTGCAGCTTTTCAGAGCGGAAAATTCACCGCTGATTCCTAGACTGCAAGTAGTAATTTAAGATATTTTACAATTTGTGTTTACACTGCTTTTCTATATCGTGTAATTGTTATTTTTTTTTTATTCATCGCAATTGGCATATTACTGCGCGTGGAATAGTTGGCCAATTTAATTCAGCATTTTGCAGGCTTATGGAAATATATGTACCAAAAATCCACCACCAAATTGGTTACAAAGTTGATACTGTTGGGAAGTTCGAGTATTATCTCGTTTCATTGCTGCGACTAAATATTTTGATAAATTGAAAATCTTTTTTAACTTGAAGTTGCCTTTTGATAGATTTAAACACCGTATATAATTAATTTCTAGAAATAACTTTTAATTAAATTCAACAGATTTCTTCGTTCCATGTTGGCATCTTTTTTTTTTGCTTGTTGAAGTTTTTAAATTTAGAAAAATTATGGTGCAAATTTTTACAAAGTTTTTTCTCGCTCTACATGACGCCAATGTTTGTAACCCTGTAAACTGTGTAAAACTTATTTGCAGACGCCCTTGATCTGAACTTTACAATACACTTGTGACTTTATTGTCCTTCGTAATATTACGTGAAATTACACCAAATTTACTGCGTTACAGACATCCGAGTAAATTATCTCAAGAACGTCTTTAATTGCGCAGCTAATTATCCGCCCTTACAAGTATGTTAACTTTGTCCATATTTCACTGCATGCATAATCCTCATGAAAAACCTTCCCACAGATAATTATCACATCGTAATAAACACATTCGTATGTGCATAACGACAACCCACACATGTGGGCATTATACACATGTAATTTAAGCAGATTTCATAAAACGCATACATCCATCCATGTGAACAATGCATCCTCCAAGTGCACTCGAATAATTAATAATACATAACGAAACAAGAGAACGGACAGATTGTGAGAAAGAATCGTCTCAAAAAACAAGACTCCGACTGGTCCGACGGCTCCTCGTCTTGTATTCACACAGATATTTTATGGTTATTCGCAATACCAACAACCCTTTCAGTGTTCAATGTGCATAACGTGTAAGTAAGCGTCATGGGGATACTGTAGTAAAAACTCGTTTTTCTTACCACGCTAAATAATTCTGTGACAGACAGAATTTATTACTAACATGAGCGAAATTCTAAAATGAGCTTAATCTTAGTTTGTTACGGACAGATTGGTAGCAAATTTGAATTTCGCGGCAAGTTAATGCTATATTTTTAATTTAAATTTAAATATAAATTTACCAATTAAGTACACAATTAAATACACCAAATTAGGGACGATTGGTAAACTCATTACAGAGGGTTAGGTTTAAATTTACCACAGCGCTGGTAACAAAATTTAAATTTCCTAGGCAAACATCCGGTAACAAATTTTTTTCCAAAATTTAAAAAATTTAAGATTACGCATTAAGATTACGTATGTATATTAATTTTTTTATTACCAAATTTTTTTTATCACAAGTAACCAAGTATTCACCGATTTGCAAGTAATCACAAGTAGTTACACGTAATCATTACATTACTTATTTAGCAATCATCCGGTAACAAATCCATTTCCGAAACTTCAAAAATTTAAGATTACACAGAACCAAATTTTATCATCAAGTAACCAAATATCCCAAGATTTCCAAGTAATCGCTACACTCCTTATTTAGAGTGCCCCTTATCCATCCCTACCATTCCATCCTCCTCATTCCGCAGATGCCTATGTATCTAAACGCATAAACTATTTACTTATTCGCAATCGCATAACCAATACGACATAACGTTTACTTACTTACGTTCATAGTAAGAAGATTAGTCACGTTATGTCGTTCATCTCATCGTAGTTCCCTCTCCCTCTCTTAAAGCAGATGCAGTTTCGCGTCTTCTAAAAAAGTAGAATGACGAGACTACTAGACGACACCATTCAACATTCACCGTACATCAAACCAAACCACATGTTGAATAATAACGTTAGGCAAAAATGTGTGTGATTTTATTGAGGTGAACTTCGATGCTCAAGCAAAGCGAGAAGGGCAGCATTATTTCATTTCATTCCATTCTTCCGTGTAAACGAGCCACAAAATAAGCAGTGACACGATGTGAGCTAAATAATTGTACATAATTTACTGACTAAATTAAATAATTTAAACCTAAAACTTAAAATTTGGAAAATTATTCCAGCTTCGGAAATATTTCTCAGAATTTCGTCACCCCAAATAAACGTCCACATATTTACTGAGCATCACCGGATGACAGGAAGTGAGTGATACACACACACTCATGAAGAAAAGCTCACCACAGAATTTCGTCAAGTCTGTAATAAGTAAACGTATGTAATTTATATATGTATGTTTTATGTGCGTCATGAAAAAGTATCATGAGGCAGCATCACACGATACAAATTATTATTGTACTAACCGCAACGTTATAATGACAAGAAATAAATACATAGGGCAAGTAAAATAGTTAATAAATAAGTGAAATATTTTTCCTTGTGTGGAGTGGAAGTAATTTTATTAGGAAGGAAAATTAAGACGTTTTAATATTTTGTATGAATCAAGACTGGGCTGGATATTTTAGTAAATTAAAGTATTTACATATATGTAGAAATTCAGACGTGTTTCGTGAAAGGTTTAGGAGTTTTTAGTCTGGGAATTTTACATAGTAGGAAACCAAATATTGAAGGAATTTCATTTAAAGAAATTTGTATTTTTTTGAATAAGTTTTATTCAGATTTGGAAAAAATTTTGTCATACATTTGATAATTTTGCAGATTTTGCTAGATATCGGCATTGTTTTTTTGTCTTTATTAATTCGAGTAATTAGTAATTTGCTTTTATAACAATTAATAATTTATCAAAATTTTACTATTAAAAAATTAATTAATTTCTTTATATTCCCAAAATACATTAATTTTGCGATTAAATTATAATCAAAGAATTTTGTTTTAATCCAACTAATTTAATTAGTTCCTAAGTTAAATTAATTACAATACGTAAATTAGCCTTATCTTAAGTATATAAATGCATATTTATTATCCACCCTCCCTTTCCACGCCTTGCCTCTTCCTGCTCCTGTTTGAAATCGTGATTTTGCTAATCTCGCCTTCACACGGGAGAGTGTTTGGGTCAGCATGCGAGAAGAATACAGACTGCAAAGACACCAAATGGTGCAATCAAGAGACGAAAATGTGCGACTGTTTAGAACTGAAATTTCCAGGAGTTTCCACAATTCAGGTTTTTCACTCGGTGAAACGAGCCTGCTTCAGTCCAGAGGGGAGTTTGTGCTTTCTCCAGAAAAGGGACATTTTTCAGGTGAGTGTGCACCATTTTTTGATTAATGCAATCATTAGTAAAGAATTTTTTTAATGCATGATAAGAAAGTAAGTAGTTCATCAAGTGTTTGCAACGAGGTAAATTATTTTCATAATTTTACAAGCGTTTCGGTAAGATTACGAAGAAAACTAGGCTATTTAAATGTAGAAGGCTTCATCCTTCCAAATTTGAATTGAGTTTATAGAAGGTGATTTGTGCAGAATTTTACTACGCCACCAATTTTGAAAAAAATACCTGAATAATAAACAAAAATAATAAATAATGAAATGACTATTTATCGTCGTTCCATCCTATCAATCAGACCTCAGAATTTCAATATTTCAAAAAAATATTCAATGCCAGATGTGTTTTTAACGATATATTTACGGTCAATTCGGGTCCTTAGGTGGCTATTTTTCAAAATAAAAAAATTTACCAGTTTTTCACACATTTTCTGGAATCCATTTGTGGAAAATTTTCCCATATTGTAAACAAATTTGACACACTGCAAATAATCTGATAATAAACATTACCGAAAAGCACAAGTATATGACTCTAGCAAAGTTGTAATGATAGGTTGTACCGTGTGATAATGGCTTGGTAATAAAGTTATACCATTATGGTAACGAATTTCTACTACCTGGTAAAATATTAGTACCAAATTTATTACCGAGAAATCATTACCTACCGGATTATTTAGAGTGCATTATTTCCACCCGTTCTGTGCTCGACACTCAATCAATCCATCAATTTTTTTATCCAACAGTTAAACTGCGTCCCCCACGCGGAATGTCACCGTGCCCCCCAAGTTGACCACCTGTCTGCCCATTTCGGCCTTTGTACCTGTTCTCCAGGCTACGTCCGGGATGAGATACATCTCTGTGAAGAAGAAGAGGAAAAGAAAGTCGTCGACTTAGAACTCGGTAACATTTTCTCGTCACGATTTAACGGCCGAGTCGGCCTACCAGCGGAAGCGGAAGGGAACCCGGTCCCACCTCGCGCCGAGAAGGTGAAAGATGACCAGGAAAATGAAAACAGAAAATTCTGGATATCCGAAGCAAAACGGAATAAAATTATCAAATCAGACTCTTCCTCTGGGAGGGTGGCGTTAAGCGGTGTAAACTTTGCAATTTTTACGACACTGGGAATCTTGTGGAGGCTCAATTTTTGTAGGATTTTTTAAATGATGGGTCAGACTTCGAGGAGATAAGTTTTAAGTGATATGAAAACAATGCTTTAATTTTATAAGATTTTAAACGCCTAGAAAAATACGTACGCAATTTACGTAATTTTTGAACGGAAAATAAACTAATTAAAAATCGACTTTATTTGTTGTTTACTTATTTTTGACCAACTATTCTTTCAAGCATTGAATATAATTTATTCATGCACCTAAATCCTTAAAAGAAAGACAAAATGGTGCTCTTTTTGCTTTTGTTATTGAGAATTTCAATACAAAATTTTGAATTTATTTACCCAATTTATTTTTAGAAAATTTAATGCATAGATAATTCATAATTGTACGTTGTACATACTATGTGAATTTTCCTTTCACCCGGCTCAAGTTTTCTATGAATGTTGTCTGCTGGATCACGGATTCCGAATATATGCAGATATTTGATCGTTAAAGGAAGAGAGCTATCAGACAAGGTTAAATCATCTTTGTAACACATTGAAAGAAACTTGTGTTTGACTTTCTAAATCAAATTTAACCGAAATTTATTATGTACCTACGTGGCTTTAAAAATTCCATTCACCTTTGAGCATCTCATTTCTTTCAAAAAATTTCCATATTTTACTAAATTAATTTTTTAGATCTCAAAATCCTTAAATTTTGTGCAGCTTAAAAAACATGAAAACACAAAAAATGCACAAAAAACACAGAGTTGGGAACCCTACCTCAATTTGTGTCTAATTGGAGTCATCCCTCTGGGACTCTGGGAAAGGGAAGCGGAACAAAATAACTAGAGATGTTTTCTATTTGTTTCATTCATACTTTTTTCAAGATCAGTTTTCTCTCCAATTTTCTTACGCAATCGCAAAAAATTTTAAAATGGATCCTTCTGTGTAGCAGGTGTAAAAAAAAGTTTATTTGTGGCAGTTTTGAAGCATAAAATTGGAACATAATGGTATAAGTAAAATTTAATGATATCGAATCCGCCAGTTTTTTTGTAAATAAAGTATAATTCAAGGTCATTCCTGCCTGTACGAAGCATTTTTGGTTAACTTTACATATAATTAATTACTTTAGTTTACAATAACATTCCAAAATTTTGAGAATCGAGAAAATAGAACTTAGGTGTCGATATATAAAATTTGTAAGAAAAAATATTTCCAGAAAGATGAACAAGATTGAGCGTCAGGCTTGTCGAATAAGAAATACGTAGATACTTCTTAAATATGATTCATTTTATTTATAATTTATTGTAGAAAACAAAGTTTCTGAAACATTGATAATAACTCAGCTAAACTCACTTTCTTTATTGTAACAATACTAACACTTCTACCAATCACCATTATTCTTTAATTAAGATATAGATAAAGGTTGAGCATTACAATGATTTTGTTCATGCAATTTTTTAAAATAAAAATTCGAAAATGCATACGTAATATTTCTGATACATTCCCCCAAATATTTTTTATATTGACAGCTTTGTATAAAAATTAACGATATTTTTTAAAACTTCAAATAAATGGGTGTAATTTTGCCTTAGAATCGTAAATTAGCGCTTAATCAAGTAGCCACTGGTTTCTTTTCGGAGAACATTTCTTTCTCATAAAGTTGTCCCATTGTCGAATAAATTTGACCCCGACCCATCTCAGCCCCAAGGCGGCGTAACAACCCTCATGTGCCGTTCGGAAGTCGATATCGCCATTCGTGTGGGCCCCGTACCTGAAAAAACCCATGAGCTCAAATTGTTCCTTATTTTCAAAAATTTGACGATTCCTTTTCTAGTCTCTTTTTCTAAGTCTCTTTAGAAAGCTTTCTAAGCTCATATTAAAAGTCTCAATTCGTTCGAATCTGAGAGGTTACTTGGTTTTTGGAAAATAATATTTAATAATCTGCCAGTGAACCTTTCAGATTTTTTTTCAGACCATTAATATTGCTTGTACCAAACCACCACATGTCGGTAACAATTTCTTAACAATGCCTATAAATTTTTCGCAATATTGCAAATATTAACTAACCAGAATAGCATGCTCCCAGCGGCGGCTTTTGCACTAAATCCCAAACTAGGAAATGCTGTTCCTCCACCAATCTCAACATCGGTCATCTGCATATTCATTAAGTTTTTGAAATTAGAAAGTCTGTGCTAAAAACTCATTCCTGCAGATAATTATTTGCATACATAAATTATAGTTGACGCGAGTCTGTGACCTCTAATAGCCATCAACTCGTCGTTGTGACCGTACAAATGATCAACGTGGATTCCGACCGGATTACCGTGAATATAGGAATTGACGACAAATGGGTCAGACCCATTTCCTCGAATGTTTAAACCAGTTAACATTTCCATCTTTTTTATCAGATCCATTCCCACTTGCTCGTCTGTAAATCCTAAAAATTGTAGAAAATCAAATTATTACCGGCTTGGTAATAATTTATTATCGGATTAAAGATGGTTTGTTTCCAATGTGCTTGCATAAGGTCACATTAAATGACGCGTTGATGTACCAGTGATTTTTCATCTCACCCTACCCCTAATCAAGGCCTTAACATGGAAATTTCTAAAAATTCTTATAATTCACTTGCCGTTTTTATAATAAATTTCCGCAAGAATGAATTAACTATTTTTTCAAAACGCTTTGTAGTCCCAAAAATTAACTTTAGATTTAAATATGAAAATTAATCTTAGACTTTTAGTAACAAAAGTTGCATTTGTCACGAACGAAACTCATAAACTTTAATCGATTTTGACCCCCAATAAAAACCATCCGGTAAAAAACTGTTTACCAACTCCGGTAAAATCATTACACTATTACCACCCGGAAACAAATCGCTACCACAATTGACTTACTGACTTTATTCGGCGATGGATGTATCCTGTGCGTAACGCCATTTCGCGGGCTTATCGACTTCTGCACCGCTTTCTCCAAAGGCGTCCCACTCTTTTCTAATCTCAAGGAGCTTTTTGGCACGGTTGAATTTACGATCGAAAGTGAAACCGTTGTTCCCCACGTGTACTCGAAAAATTCGGTCGGAATAGCTTTGTGCAATAAAACCACGTACGGATCCCAGCTCAAAATTTCTAGTTTTACCGAGTTAATTTTGAAGTAGGGATGCTTTTTGGTGTCAAAGGTGCAAAACAAATGCTTCCGATCGCATTCAGTCTATATAAAAAATTTGATAGGTTTAGGACAATCTTGTTTCATAATTTTGAATTTTTTTCAAATCTGTTAAATCACATTTACTTATCACATTTGTCATCATTTTTTATTAATCTGGTAATCATTCTTTTCCGCTAGATTCCGGAAGATTAGCCAAATTGCAATTTAAAAATTTGTAGGTTTAACGCCAGTAATAATAATCTTGGGATCATATCGCAATTAAAAATACGTAAAGGTGCCATCAATTTTTTGAGACACTGTATATGCGAGAAATATTATCTGGGAACAAATAATAATAACCTTCCAAAAGTCTTCATAATCTAATTAATTATAAAACCCTGGAAATTTAAAAAGTGTTATTACTATTGGCGTCAAACATTGGCATAAAATTTTTGCGAACAGAATCATTATGAAATTGGTAACAGAACAATAGAACGTGAAAACAGTTGTCAATATATTTGCATCTTATTTGCAACAAACCGTGATCGTTTTTTAACATTGCAATTATTAAGTAGCTTCAGCTACTTTATGCGAAGACTTTGTCCGTCCGTCTGTCTGTCTGTCTGTCTGTCTGTCTGTCTGTCCGTCAGCAGGATAACGAGAGAACGGATCAAGATAATCGAAATCGGTTTGCGGCATCATACATAGGACCCCAGGGGGGATGCTATCAACTTTTGGGGACAATCGGACCACACCCCTTGGCGCCAGGGGGTGTGGTTGGGGCAAAATGAGATTTTTAAAAAAATTGAATCTATGGATGAAATAAAGTCAAATTTTGTGATCCCCTGTTGTGCCACACCCCCTGGCGCCCATGGGGTGTGGTTGGGGCAAAATGAGATTTTACTCAAAAATGAATCTATGGATGAAATACAGTGAAATTAAGTGTTCCCGCGATGTCGTGGGAGTGGTTGGGGTGAAGTGAGTCTGAAGCTACTTCCTTATGTGCGTTTACGACGGTTTATTTAATTTAGTGCTGTTTGAATTTCTACCGGTCAAAATCACGTGCTTATTTGATTAACATTTGAAGGTGGCCAAAATTTAATTCAAACTTATCCCCACTACTTAAAATAAGTGCAATATTCGGAGATAAAATCAAATTAAGATCACACATTTTGTTAAAAATCTCTTAAAATTTCATCACTTACCACGAAATCCCGCCCATTGCAGACATTTAGCAAATTATAGTAGGTAATTTCACTCTCATAGCTTTCATGTCCGGGTAGTCGTATCCCATGATAAAGATCCATCTTAACATCCCGCATGGTTCGGGAGAATAAATTATTTGCCAATTTCTCCTCAAAGTAAAATAAACCTTTGGATAAGTGCGTATCGTAGTCGGAGTCGTGTTGCTGAATTAACGCGGCAATATTTTTGGTGACGTTATCCACAAAATTTTTCTCGGGTAGTTTCATACTTATAACGATCCAAAACCAGGGCAGAGCTAGCGTGTACATTTTCTTGGTCATGGCGTAATTTCCAATTTCTAGGGCATGATTTGCATCGAGAGGGACGCCCGTGTCGGTAGTGAAAATTTTACCGGTGACCAACTGTTGGTAGAAGAAGTAAAATTACAAGTATGTTTGACTACGGTGGTAATAATATCAATGTTACCGGGTGGCAATGAAATATACATATGACTAAATCGATAAGGTTTTCAGGAGTTAAAATTTATTTGGAAAAATCTAAAAAAATAACCAAAATTTACCAAATCGGTAAAAAATCTTGTAAGAATGAAAACTCTAGAGAATCTAAGAAATGACCAAACCGTACCAAATAATCGGTGAAAACTCATTACCAACGCGTAAATTTTACAATTAATTTAATCTAAAAAATTGCAAACCCATAATTTACTTACACCAACGGGTTTCAAGTCATAAAACTGTTGAAGGTTTAGCAGCGATTCTATTGCTTCGTAGTGATCGTCTAAACTTGGAAGTGCGATTGATCCCAAGACTTCCTTTATTTTTTGGAGCAGATCTAATTAATATTTTAATGACGCATTATTTATATTGATTTTAAAATGACCTAGTTTGATTAAAAAGTACCAAAATCTGTCAATTTTTCTCGGAGTGGTTGCAACATTGTGACAAATCGATTCGTCATTCGAATCAGGGCGATTGGATTTTTCACGACTTCCATCGCCTTAAACCAATCGATTTTACGTTTCGTGCTGGACAATACTTTTCCAGAGGTTTTGTTAAAATCTTCCAAATATCTGGGGTGATAAGTGTATCATTATTAAGGCAATTCACGCAGGATTTGGTAACTTTGTAAAATTCGTAAACTTTGCAAACTTTTGCAAACTTTTGCCAAATATTTTTAAAGAAAATTCGCTAATAATTTTTTTAAGTTTACTCAGGACTCAGGGCGTCTTTTTATTTTATAAAAATTTGTAAAAATTATTTTACAAAGTTTACGGGTTTTACAAAGACGATGGCTTGAATTGCCTCATTAATATCAAACTGACACAAATTTTTAGCAAATAATTTTAAAATTTCCGGATTTCATTACCCGATGATAAGTTTCCTTGCTGCATATTTTTTGAAATCCTTCTTCATAGAAAATTCTTCAAATAACTTGATCAACCCGATTTCCGCTTTTGCTAAATGGATCAAATATCCAGGGGTTAACGCAACATCTAAATGAACTTCGCTTTCGCTTCCGGTTTCACTTGAAAAGGCAACAATTAACGATACTGATAAAAACCATGTGATTTTAGGAAACATTTTGAAACCAGTGAAAAATGAATATTTCCACTTGGAAAGCTACTAAAATGTCGACTCTTCGAGATAAAATGAAAGTTTTCTAAAAATGAAGGTTTCCATTGTTCGTAAATGAATAATTAATTAACAATGACATTTGTTGACGGAAATAGTTGCATTTTTTCTTGTTGCATAAACATTTATTTGTATAATAGACTTACTGTTCAGTCGATATTAATAGGCACAAAAAAATCTGATAGGTTTTCTGGCAGATTATTTTATATTTCAATAATTAGCGACCAAATAACCTCTCATAGAAATTTTTTCAAGGAGTTGAGACTATTTATATTGGTTGAAAAGTAATACCCCACTCATGTAAAAATTTAGGTTCACTCAGATATTTGTAACCCAGTAAACTGTGTAACTTTTATAAAATTGTGTCACAAACCTTTACTAAAAATACCCATCCTTGATCTGGGTGAATATATTTGCGATAAATACGTACATTTGTAGCCTGATTTTCCATCATAATTTTTCTGGCTCAAACTTTCTATAAGTTTATGGATTTTTACAGAGTTACAAATATCCGAGTAAAAGTTTGCCATTCTAAATAAATATTAGCGTCAGTTAATCTCACATCATGGGACGACGACTTTCTCCGACAAAAACATTACGTTAAATCCATTCCTGTCCTATTTTGGAGTTGTACCCAGCCCAGCAGGGAGTGAAATGAAATGGTGATGACATTTGTGAGAAGGACGTGACACCGACACTTTACTCTGTCGTCATTTCACCCTCATGCGGATATAATGCACATAAAGCACCGTACATAAAGAGTGTGCTGCATTTTCGTAGAATTTCGTCACTTTCCATCCTGACAAAGGAGGTCTCCCAACGTTTTCTCATAGATTTTGACCCAAATTAGTGTCAATCGATAACAAATTTAATAAATATGAAATTTGCAAAAGGCACGATCTCCCTTCGCCCGATTTGGCGAAGACATTTGCATCCGAAGAAGAGAAAACGCTCCTTAATTACGACAAATTTTAAACTTTCCAAATTTACCGCGCGTTTTATCCTTTTCGGATGCAAATATCTTCGACAAATCTGCACATTGGCAGATCGTGTCAAATTTCATACTTATTAAATTTTGTAATTGATTGACACTTGCTCGTTGAGTAAACGTTGGGAGACATTGTGAGTGATTTCGTCATAATTATCTTACAGAAATTATGTACAGAATGGCTTGACCCACATGCTTCATGCACGGTCCCTATTTTTCTGTCTGGCTTGGACGTGTCATCGTCAGTATCTTCATGATCATCTCTTCCATCCACTTTGTGACTTTGAAGTTACAGTAAAACACTAACTGAAAACATATACATTTCCAAATTTCTGGTGACACTTACGTACAAAAATCGAGAGAAACTTCTGTTACACTATAACCTCGATAAAATTTTGTAACAAGTTATTATGTATTCAATCTTACATACAAGGATGTATGTAAGATTGAATACTTCTTATAAATGTTTAGCGTGTTTGGAAATAAGAAGAGTGCAAAATTTGTTAGTAAGTTGGTTACCGGATTAATAAGCGAAAACTTACAATTATGTAGGAAACTAGTGACAAATTTTTGGTAACAAGTTGTTTCCACTCGGTAAACAAGCGATAACAATCGTTTGCGTTATGTGGATATACCTCTCTGAAACATCTCGCAAATTATTTAGAGTGCACATATATAGCTCAATATGTAGTGCTGCATTTACAAAGCAGTTGATCTAATTCATTTTGGTAAAAAACAGCTTATCATTTAGTAATACAGTATTACCAAACTGGTAAAACCAATATGTTGATAAAAATTTCTAAGAGTGCACTTACATAAAAAAAGCAGAAAAGTCAGACTAGGACGATTCGGGTGGAGAAAGATCAAGAGAAAGAAAGAATAAAGTATATATATTCGGAATCCTCTCACCGAGACCTTTCCAACGATACCTCACTTGATAATAAATCCCAATTACAGTTTCGAAAAATTAATTTTAAAATAAAATGAAAATTGTACGAGTTGAACGCCAAATGACTAGTGAAAATGTTGAATATTATTGAAATCTAAACCTCGCTCTTACCCCTCCTTAACGGTAGTAAAAGTTTACAATTTTTTTAAATGTACTTTTAAATAATCAGTCAACTTTTCAATGTTTAATAAAAATCGAACCAACAATTTTGAATTTTACCCTTAATTAAACTAGTTAGTGATAGAAATGTCATGCATATTTTTCAATAAATTCAGACAATGTTACAATGAATTTTTATTTAACTTCGTGCAAAAACTACGAATTGAAATGTGTTTATGCAGTTGACTCGAACGTATCAAAATACTAACGAGTTTCTTCACTATTTCAAAAGATTTTGTAACTATGCCAATTTTGTATCGTCTCTATCATCAATCGTGCTTTTACACATATTCGCCCAATTATTTGGTCCAGTGTCCGTTATAATGAGACGGGTGATGACGTCCGTACCGTCAACTGGACTCCACTTCAGTAATTGACTGATCGATTCATCTCTCGTCAAATAAGGAAGATCACAGAAATTCTAAAAATGTTTTCGGAGTCTATCCACACGTCGGCGGAAGCATGCATGCATCAGCACAAATGAAAATAAGGCCAGACTTTCTCTAGCCGTATTTTTATCAATGCATAAATGATGATTGTCTCAGCCAAGCTATGGATAAACTTTAAACTTTACTTGAAAAATCATCTGAATTGGAATTGGCACAAATTTTAAAATAAAATGCAAAATGTAAAATTACTATTTAACAATTATCAAATATTGGTAATCTGTCCTAGATAATCCACTCCAGCTAAAATTCTATACAACTTTTGCATCTACTTTCCAATGGTCATGAAAAACTAAGCACATTTGACAAATTTAATGTACGTCATCTTCGTTCATTTCATATTAATTTTCTGAGTTGGATTGTTTCTAAGAATTTTCCCATGTGGATATCACAGTCAAAATTAACTGATACTAAATTTATATAATTTTCATTCCGTCGTTAAAATTGGAATTTTTAGTCAAACCAATATTTCCCATATTGCTCATATCTTTATTATTACACTTTCTTTCTTGCCATAAACAATAATAAATCATTTTTCAAATATCTATTAGCAGGAAAAAAAGTAATAAAATCTTTCACTTTTTTTCATTCGTGACGACAACAAAGTCACAAAGCAGACAATTCACTCCTCTTTTGTTGATCGTGTCACAAGGATGAAAGTTTAAGAGAGAAGAGAGAGAAGGTGGCATTCAAATAATTTGACGCCTCATTACGCCCAACATTTAATGACATTTTAAATAAAAGGGTGCCCGGGTGAAATTAAGGAAATATCCGATTTTTCTTCATTCATTGTTACTCAGCAGATTGAACAAAATTACATTTTCATCGTTACGTCGATACTTTATGTACGTGTTTTCTAATCTTTTCATGCGAAACAAAATGACATAAAATGTTGTAGCTTGTTTGGGAACTTTATAAATTATGTAAGTTGTGTAATATTAAAACTTTTACTAAATGAAAAGGTGGCTACGATTTGTGTTTTGATCTGTTTGAAATCTGTGTCAAATTTTTGTTTCAAGATTTTCAAACTATTTGGCTTTTTTAAAATTTTGTAATTATTTGTAAATTTACACGTTTTACGAGGTTAATGTAAAATTTATGCATTTTTTCGGTGAGCTTACATTTATAAACTGATACCCGTCGTACCGGAACCCATGCATAAATAAAATTATCGGCGTTTGTTACTGAATAATTAGTCTTAATTTATTTGAAATTCTAGTAAATGATAATACTAAAGACTTGAATGTTATCAAGTAAAAAGTTAATGTGACAAAAATAAATACATATAAGCATATATGACTTTCTTTACCAATTGTCTAAATAAATGTGTATATTTCCCTTGAAATTGTTTTTCCATAAATTTGTATTTCATATAACACTTTCTTTGAATTTTGTATACTTTTATTCGTTCGAACTTCAATTTCTTCTAGATTAAAGAAGTTCGTTTTGTTCGTGCAATTTGGGAGTACTTCAAATTAAGGCTATAAAATTTAAGATCAAATATGGGTCTCCTTATTTTGTAAAAGTTTCTAAAATAACGTTGTTGAAGAGTAATACATTTTACAAATTTTGCAATTTCTCTGCCTTTAACATTTCTCAAGCATTGTAGAAAACATGAAAAATCACACATTTTAGATATATGTATATATTTACCTGTAAAGTATATTACAAAAAACATTAATTAAATATGAAATTTTATGCTTTAATTAATTCTTATATATATATACATATTTGTTACTAAATTTAATTAAATTGTGACATAACGAGGCCAATATTAAATTTGAAGCGAAATTTATATCGTATAAAGTGTGAAGATCATATTTTATTTATTTTATTGGAATGCATTGGAATATGTATTTTAGTATGTATTTTTACAGAATTTTCAAAATACAAACATATTTTTTTTATTAACAAATCATAATTTTTCAAAAATTCTATAATAAATCCTTGCTAGCTTTTCCTATACATTTTTAATCCGGTCGATTGAATTTTCAGAATTTTATTTTTGTATTTGTCTAATCTTATTTCGTTATATTACATACTTGAAAAAATTAACGGTAACGTTTCCTGATTTTTACAATTTCTTCAAAATTTCACACCTTCAACTATACAACTCCGATAAAGAATATGAGCCCACTCTGCTTTATAAATGAGAAGGTGGTGCTGCTCTGTAAAGTAGAAATTTAATGAAGTAGAGAGGAGAAGAGAAAGTCTGTCGTCCTTGTTTTCTACATCCTTCCGGTAGTTGATTAGTGCCCAATTGCACCTCATTTCTCTCCATGTCAGTCTCTTTATCACCCGAATAATCACCTTCCATCCATCCCCGACGTACACGAAACACAATATTGCACCCGACAAAGACTAATACGGCCAGTTTGGGATTTTCTGTTGGTTGTACATGTAAATAATCGATCCCATTCCGTCCTTTTAAATCGTTGCCATCCCTCTGCCTTTGTTTCCTGACTCATTACGCCGTGTATTTGTACTTGTCACGAAGGTGGAGAATTTCTTCATGGAGGGAAAGTTGAGACGGATTTGGGATAAGAATTCTGAATATTTACGTGATTTTCATTTTATTTTATCCTTTTACATACATTAAAATTGTGACAGCAGTTAAATTCGTGCATTTTATGATCAAAGTCATTAAAACAAGTTTCATACATATTTCAGGTTTCTTCAAAACTTGTAGGGCGATGATTGATACTAATTTGCATACACGTGTTAATAAACAATTGAATTAATTTGTATTTAAATAAAAAATGTTATGCGGACTTCAATTACTGATTCTACATACATACGTTACAACGAAGCTAAAAATATTTATAAATTTTCTATTAATAAAATCATGTCACGCGTTGCATATTAAGAAAACAATATATGTAACCGACATCAAATTCAAGACACGCCTAGTAATTTGGTCACGCATTTATATCTAAGTAATTAATTAAAATTGAATTAAAATTCAGGAAATTAGTTAGTCCACAGACAAGGTGGTCGTTTTTATCCGAGGGTCACCCGCACGCAACGTTCTTCTGCGAAGGAATGATATCCGTAAAAAATGGTTCATTATTCCATTCCACGTTCCAAAATAGATAGTTCATGTTTTAGAGAATTACTTATCTCCTCAACACGTAAAATATTAACATAATGTCAACACCTCTAAAATATCGACATATTTATAAATACTAAGTTTAGCAAATATTTCATCACAAGTGAACAGTATTAGGCCATCAAAGGACAACAAGTAACTACATAATTGAGCAAGAAATCTCTGCAAAATATCGCCAAAAATGGAGAAGAATTGTCTTCTTCGAACTATTTTACTGGTCCAACTCACAACTACCGTACTTTGCCAACCACCTCCTGCAGATCCGCAGCAAAAGAACGTAAAGTTACAAAATCTCCTGACTCGACTTTTCCAGGCCACCTATCAAAATACGGATTTACGCCCACCCAATTTCGCTGATCCGACAAACGTCGAAGTTTATTTGAGATCCGTAAAGTTCGAGAGTTTCGACGAGCTCTCGGCTTCCAGACAGGTCAAGTTTTCCGCCGATTTTATCACAGAATATACCGATCCGCGCCGTATGCTGAATGAACCAGTGGCAGGCCCAAGTACTTTGGGGGATATTAAATACCTGGAAGTTCCCTCCTGGCCGGAAACTATGTTCATTTGGGTTCCTGACCTTCAGTTTATCAATGCGGATGTGACGTTGAGAAATAACACGATTTTTCGAAAGCCATCTGGCCCATGTATTGGATGTCCTGGTTGGGATAATGGTTACGGATCGCACGTTTTAGTAAATCCAAGTAACGGCAGGATACTTAGGAAGACTCCGTTATCCTTTGTGATGGTGGGAAGCCCGGAAAATATCCCGGGAAAGGTAAAACCTTGACCTGCATGGTGGTTTTGAATTTGAATTTTCGCGTCTCAACTTTCCCTTGTTCTATGTATTGAAATGACGATTTTGAAACGTGTTTATCGTTGTGTGTTTCTTACAAAAGTTTAGAAGATTTTATTGCATTTAGAAATCGATAATATTTTAGTTTTACAAAGTTAGAAGGTAGTTATTTTGATTTTATTGCATGAGAAAATATTTAATTTTGTACTTGGCATTATTTATCTACATATTTTATTTATATTTACTTGTAAAAAAAATCAAAATTTTAACCTCCTAAATTTCCAAACCTAAAAATTATCGATTTTCAGACGCATTAAAATCTTAATTTTGTAAATAATGCACAGTTGACAGTGATGAACAGCAGATTTCGCCATTTGAAAGGAAAAGGAAAATTGAGACAAAAATTAAAATAAATATTTGCTCAAATTTTCAAACTTTTATCATACTTTCAACTTTTATTGTTTTTACTCAATTGTAGCAAAAAACGTACACGATACAGATTGCTAGCCAGAAGTTGTCCACTGAAGACTTGGTGTTAAATTGGAAGTTGAAAAATCCCATTCAACCGTCGGAACAAAAGATTCAAGGTTTCTGCATTGGTGCTGCGAATAAGATGACGGCGATCAAGTACGCGGCAGTGGCGTCGGTGGGAACATGTGAGAAAAGCGAAGATGACGGGGTCAATTTTGGAAATCGGAATTTCAGTTGTCTCGAATTGGAGATTAAATTTGTTCCTGCGGACGGACCGGTGCAGACTTGTTAAAATTTGGTTAAAACGAAAAGTGGAGAGTTTTTTTTATAAAAAATAGAAATTATGTGCACATTTTTAGGGAATGTTAACTTAAATTAATTTAGCGTTGACATAAAAATGTAATAAATTTTAAGCTATTAGGGTCTCCCAAGTTTGTAAAAAAGATCTGAAAAAGCGAAAAGCTAAAAAATCTGAAATCCGCTTTTTTCGCTCAATACTTGACTGTCCCGATTTTTTATCGCTTGAATACTCGGGAGCAGAGAATGGGTGGTCAGGAAACTTTCGAGTTTCTTTTAAAATTTAAATTTGCTTCATGTTGGATATGATAAAACAACTATCTAAGATCATGTAAATCCAAAAATTACCAAAATGGGATGAAAATAGGATTTTTGGCAAAGGTTTGAATGCGGTAGTTTTAGTGGTTGCAATGCTTTTCAGGGGGTGTGGCGGGCGCAGGTGGGGCAATGGAATAAAATCCTCCCTCACTTTTCATACACTCACCTGATATTGCAATATATTCCATAGGGCATCAAAATCGGGCGATGTCCCCTTAAACATGTCTCTGAGAGACTGATTTTTCACTCAAAGTAGTAAAAAGAGCGAAAAAATCATCTTAAAGTAGATTTTATTTTTGAGCAGAAAAAGCGGAAAAAAGATCGGAATCGCATGCGCAGTGCGGTTTACAAAAAGAGCGAAAAAATCGTGAGCGGAAAAAGCGATTTTTTTTACAAAGTTGGGACACCCTATTATACATTAAAATCGTTAACAACTGAAAAAAGCATTATTTCATTTTGTAACTCTACCCAAATCATATCTAGGTGCATCTGTTTAGTTGCATATTTTATTCCCAATTTGATATGAACGTTGACATATAACAATTTTTAAAAAATATTTATAAAAATCTCACCAACCATATTTAACAATTACAAAGTACATCAAGTTGAAAATTGCATGATAACCTTGATCCCCATATTATCATTTTATTTACGTAATAAACACCCAATTGGCAAATGTTTCCAATTCTGTCTCATTTTCCCCTCATCTAACAGCTCAATTGCTCATTCAGTTTATTTCACGAAATTTTACTCTGGACGGCAATCTGACACAAGTATGATTTTCTGTTTCGAATAAATATTTGATAACTATCAAAGTTCATCACATTCTTTGTTTAAAACCTTTTTGTCAGCAGTATGATTTAATTTAAATATTGAATTTACTTTCAGTGCTCAATCTCAGTTTTATTCAAGAATTAAAGTAATCCGGCCGGATAAAACATTTATTCATTAATACCCACAAACTCTTCGTCGTCTCCGCTGACTAAGCAAATCTTTCACTTTCCAGGGTTTCTGAAACAGTTTGAAGTTATTCTAAAATAATTTAGTACAAAAATATACTTGTATAATTTTGAAAAAAAATACCAAACTCAAAAAAATGAAAATGCAATACATATAATCGTCTGATGTGAAATCATTGTTAAGCATGAAAGAAGAAAGATGCATTAAAAACAAGACATAATAACTCGTGTCGAAAAACCTCATCCAAAAACCTTTATTACCGCCAGCTTAAACACAAAATACATCAAAAACCATTTCAAAATCACCTTAAAAATCGGACATTAATCCCAAAAAAATACATCGTCTATGCCCAAAATCACAATACGAAAGTATGACCAGACATAAAATCTTGCACCCTGGCCGAGAATCTGTAAATCATTAAATTTCTGTGCAATCTCCACTTTCTTGGCTATGGGTTTGTCCTTGTCACATCTTATCCAGTCCTCCTGCCTTGACTCCTGTTCACTGCTCGCTCCTTCCTTCGTTTCGATAATTTTGGCCGATTCATCCGTGTTGTTGACGAAGAAAGGACATGGTTGGTTGAGACGGATGGATGAATCCGTCTTCTGTCACCCTGCCAAAGTAACAATACTCCGAGATGCTCATTAGCACGAAATGGGGTGATATGAGTGGCTATAGGGGACTCAAAATCCACTCTAAAAAATTTGCTGCTAAATATCCTTGTGTTATCACCTCTTCACAAAAATCAACAGATCTGGTGGCAAGTATGGTTACCAAATGTGTACAAAAAACACTGATGGCTGCAAAGTAAACCAACAACTTTAGTACCAAGATAAATACTTATGTATCTAATATTATTTAATTGATGTTGATGTATGTTCATTGATAAAATCATTACCACGCCAATTTGTTACCAAATTGGTAGAAAATGTTACCAGTTTGGTAATAATTTTACCAATGTAAGTGCATTAACATCAATTAGTTTTAGATATCTTGATGGTAAACCATTTGTTATATGCATAACTAATTATTTGTAACTCATTAATAAAAAATATAAGGAAACTGGTAAGAAAAAATGTGTTAATAAATTACATATAAAACCCATTGGTTGCAAAATACAACGTTGTATTACACGGCTAAAAAAATTGCAGACCGCTCAAATCAAATATTCCCGCTTGTCGGTAACACACCAATCTCCTACGGAAATTCTTAGAGTGCCCCCACACCACTGGAGATTTACTATGTCTCTCTCTCTCTCTCTGAGTAATTAAAGGAGACGCTAGTCCATCTCCGTGAACATCTTGCCGTGACAGTCAAAATTACTTGAGAACGACCCAAGTGTGTTTAACTTGAAGAAATTTAAACTTGGCCAAACCCGGAGAGAGAAAGTGGTTTTCCTTGTCAATGTCGTGGACATCGTGGGCCTCCTTAAAACAACAAATTGCGATTGGCAGGACGCTCATTAATTTGAATTTCTTCGGAAAGAGGTTGACATTAAGATGGGCTAAAATAAATTCAAGAGAGTTATTTTAATAATTAGTTCCCAAATTTAAAAAATGTTGGAGCTTGACGCCGTTTTAGAAAATCGATAAGGTTTTAGTACGACAATGAGCAAAAAGATTCCTTAAGTCATGGGTTCTGGGTTCAAGTAACGAGTTTTTTGCATATTAAAATCCGAAAAACACTGCTTTTTAATCATGAATTTCTAACATATAGTATTTACATTCATGTTTTTAATTATGAAGATTCCTGTCTTGACGTGAATAAACCCAATTTCATGGACTCGTATCAAAAATATGCTGGTTACAAAATATTCTGTAATATCTAGACTTGATAACCCTGAACTTTGCATAATTCTCAAATTTTCTACCACACCTCCACAATTTTTAAGATATCATCATGACAAATTTGAGTGAGATTAAACATGTCCTGTTTTATCTCATTTTCTGTACATTATGCAGAATGGACATACCTAATGTCAGTATACATTCATATTTTATTCCCAATTTAATATGAACGTTGATATACAGCAATTTTTTTTATAAATATTTATAAAAACGTATTGTACAGGTAAAGTATAATGTGCAACGAAAAATGGGACGTAAAAAATCGTCAAGAAGAGGTTGTGGCCGTGTCGATTAAGTTTAAAATTAAAATTAAAATTTTTATAAATTTTACAAACGCTGATAAGCATTTTAATTTTATAGCCAAATTCAAAGAAGTTTTATTTCCTTTCGTTCGGACGGAAGAATAAGTTATTTATGTATAATTTAATGAATAATCAAACGCTCTCCTAATTTAACTAAAAGTTTGGGAGACGACATTTGTCACCTTGATTTTGTGCAGTACAATTTACATATTTCAAATTCATGAAATCTGTTTATTTTGAGTAATCTGATTTATTATTAATATTTCAGTTAAAAGTATTTTCAGAATAATAAAGTCGTCATAAAACAACAATTTTTTTTTCTGGGAAAGAATACATAATTTCAATAGGAAAATTATGTTTTTTTACACATTCTACAAGTTGTGTTGCAAATTAAGATTTGAATCCAATTATTCAATCCATGAAAATACTTAAATACTTATTTTGTCGGTTATTCCAGTTTTTGAAACCAACTTCCTGCAAATTAAATTTAATATTACGTAAAGTTTTGTAGGCAGGATGTGTTTTATTTCAATTTTAGAACATTCTAGTAACACGTGCTTCATTTTATTTTGCAAATATTTTTCTATAGATGACCTTGATTAATTGTACTTAATTACCAAGGAACTAAGTACGAAATATTTCTTAGAAAAAGGTTTCCCTGTTTTGCTAAAATAATGTTCTGACACAAAAATTGACACAAATTTATAACGTAACCAAAATGTGGTTTGATTTCCTTCCTGTAAAAATTCATACATAAAACTGGCCCATTGCAAATCGTAATCACATTCTTGAATTGCTAAACTTCTCGTTCCTAGAAAAATATAACAATAAATTTGAACTATTTATTTAAATTTTTCGAACAATTTCTGATCATGGGGAAATATCTGTATTTCATTGCTGTAATTGTCGCTATAATTTTTGTAGCTTGTGAAGCACAAAAATGGGAAAGTGGAAAAGGTAAAAGTACGGAAATTTAAGAACAATTCAGTATCGATCAATTTCGTAATTTGGGAGAAATATATGTTTAGAATGAATGGACAATTTTGTATAAAATTTAAAACCAGGTGGTAAGCAAAAGATAACCAACTGGTAACAACTCTGACAAAATTGGTAGTTATAATCTGTTACTGCGAAATGAGATCTTAACATCAGAAAATAAATCTTAGCCTACGTACTGTCAAATTTTATCTAAAATTCTCCAAATTTCACTTTCAGATTACACGTGCACTATGGACAAGGAAGATTTCTCTTTTTACGACGGATGCAATTGGAGCACTTGTCCGTGCGATGAAAAATCCACCTTCATTTGTTCATCGACATTGAAATATTGTTACGGCGTAGACGAAAATGCTTCGGTAGGATTGAAGGAATTTGCAAGAAATTCCTGCTGTACTGTTGCAAAATAAGGTTAAATTTGAAAAGCTGAAATTTGGATATTGAACAGAAATTAAGTTTAAAGATACAATATCGGTAAAAAAATTGCTTTAAATCGGTGAAATTGTGTCCGCATGTTAAAATATTGTTCAATCCAATACGAGCCTGGCTAATAAAAAAGATTTGTAAAATTACCATTTTATTATTATGCATCACATCTTTCTTAAATATTTCAATGTTAGAAGATCATTAAAAGTTATAATTAAATCATACATTAATTATTACCACCGAACTAGCTCCCGAATTATACATTGTAAATTAGCTTAATTTAAATTATTTTGCAAACATTCTTATCTAAATTAGCTAAATTTAAATTATTTTGCAAACATTCTTATCTAAATTAGCTAAATTTAAATTATTTTGCAAACATTCTTATCTAAATTAGCTAAATTTAAATTATTTTGCAAACATTCTTATCTAAATTAGCTAAATTTAAATTATTTTGCAAACATTCTTATCTAAATTAGCTAAATTTAAATTATTTTGCAAACATTCTTATCTAAATTAGCTAAATTTAAATTATTTTGCAAACATTCTTATCTAAATTAGCTAAATTTAAATTATTTTGCAAACATTCTTATCTAAATTAGCTAAATTTAAATTATTTTGCAAACATTCTTATCTAAATTAGCTAAATTTAAATTATTTTGCAAACATTCTTATCTAAATTAGCTAAATTTAAATTATTTTGCAAACATTCTTATCTAAATTAGCTAAATTTAAATTATTTTGCAAACATTCTTATCTAAATTAGCTAAATTTAAATTATTTTGCAAACATTCTTATCTAAATTAGCTAAATTTAAATTATTTTGCAAACATTCTTATCTAAATTAGCTAAATTTAAATTATTTTGCAAACATTCTTATCTAAATTAGCTAAATTTAAATTATTTTGCAAACATTCTTATCTAAATTAGCTAAATTTAAATTATTTTGCAAACATTCTTATCTAAATTAGCTTAATTTAAATTATTTTGCAAACATTCTTATCTAAATTAGCTAAATTTAAATTATTTTGCAAACATTCTTATCTAAATTAGCTAAATTTAAATTATTTTGCAAACATTCTTATCTAAATTAGCTAAATTTAAATTATTTTGCAAACATTCTTATCTAAATTAGCTAAATTTAAATTATTTTGCAAACATTCTTATCTAAATTAGCTAAATTTAAATTATTTTGCAAACATTCTTATCTAAATTAGCTAAATTTAAATTATTTTGCAAACATTCTTATCTAAATTAGCTTAATTTAAATTATTTTGCAAACATTCTTATCTAAATTAGCTAAATTTAAATTATTTTGCAAACATTCTTATCTAAATTAGCTAAATTTAAATTATTTTGCAAACATTCTTATCTAAATTAGCTAAATTTAAATTATTTTGCAAACATGCTTATCTATATACGGCATTTCACCTATTACAAATTTAGAAATCAAACGCCGCATCTCTAAAAATCTTGCAAAATATTTACATACGTTAATAATTAATGTTTTGAATTAATTAAATTTCGAACTAATTGTAAGTATGTTCATTACTATTTTACACAAACTTATGTAATTAATAAAGCCTTCTATTCCGAAGAATAAAAATGAAGTATTTAAAATTTAAAATTATGAAGCTTTTAGACGCCGGAAGTTGAATGTTAATTTATTTTGAGGTATTGTATCACTTGTTTTATTGTAGGTTTCTGATGGAAATTTACGACTTAGAAATTAAAAAAACTTTGATTTGGAATATCTACGAAATTTGCAAATATTTTCGTATAAAACATTGAATTTTTCTAAATATCGATTAGACTTTGAGTCCCATCCGGTCCAACTTTCTCCCTTTTGCCGGCGTTGAATATCATCTCATTTACTGGTGTTAAAGCTCAACACCAAAATTTCCATTATTTTTTTTTGCAAGTCACCAACAGAATAGAATTGTCAACAAAAACGGAACGAAACAAATCCATCCCGTCCTGACGTTTCTTCATTCATTTATGTATCGTGAGAATGAATAAAAGCGTTGATTTTCATACAATACAGAAAATTCTATCCATCTTCGTCACCCAGCAAGAGAGTTGAGACGAGGCTGAAATACGTAGGGTTCCAATTTCCAAACACAAATAAATATTCTAAATTTCATCTGAAACAGGAAATAATTTAGCTTTAATAAAATTATAATTAAAAACTAAAATTTCGAATTCTTTAATTAATTTTTTTCATATTTCATATTTTCAAATTTGTGAGGTCAATAAATTATTTACTTTATTTCTCGTACAATTAGTGATGGTCATCCGATCCGGTCCAAATCGATCCGATCATGAGTCTGGAAATCGGATCGATTTGGATCGGATCCGATTTCCGGATCGGATATTGGTCTAAAGGGTCAGATAAAAAAATCCGATCCGATCCGGTCCGACGGATCGGATATTTTTCGGACCGGAGGGATAAACATTCCGTGCAATTTTCCGGGTAATCCGTTTACATATATTTTTAGATGATAGTTAAATACGTCTAGACTGCATAAATCACAATGTTACTTAATTTAAGTCAAATACAGAACCCTTATTCGGAAACTTTTCAACCAAAATCCCTCATCGCGTCGCGTTGGAAATAAATAATACAAAAATAAACAAGGAGTCGAAATGTTTAGAATTTTCACTATCCGAATCCAATCCTCATTTTCCATTGTGTATTTATTTTCCCCTAAATTCATGCAATCAACTCTTGAAATTCTATCAAACCAAACCCGTGTGAAAGTTGACTTTCACTTACATCAATACGTCAAACTAATGAACTAATTAACTTGCATAACATTGCGAAATTGTTAATTAATTAATTTAATTAAACTGATGGGAAGGTTTACTTACATACAATTTATAAATTTTACTTGTGAAATTTACCTCGAATAAATATTTCCAGAAATATTGACCAAGAAAGTTAGTTTTCCCCGGAATTTTAGTTGAACTCGGATTTTGTGATTTTCTTACGGTTCACTGAATTTTGTTGTCTTAACTTTTACATCATTAATTATCAGACCGAAACGTCGATATCATCGTTCGTGTTATCATAATTACGAAAACTTTTGTCCCTCTCATCCCATCATTACTAAAATAATTCAAGTTTTGTTAAGACAAAGTTTTGTTTGTGGGTTTTCTTGTGGTTTTTTCAAAATTTTCATGGAAATAAATGATTTCATTTTCAAAATTATGCTCACATTACACATACAACTCCATTTATGATTAAACCACACCCCCAGAGTATCTGTTAACATAAAGAACTAGTTAATATTGCTTAATTTTTAATAATGACGTTAAAACCGTAAACTACTTTAAATTCATTTAAACATAAAATCACTTAATAAATTGATCCAGATTTATAACAATGAAGCCAAAGTTACAAAAGATTTCAGTAAATAACTCAATAATTCACGCAGTCTTTGGTAACTTTTCAAAATCAATACATTATTTTTGCGTAGCTTTGACTTTTTATTCAAAAATTAAAAATTGTATTCTCATAAAAAAATAAAACAACTCACATTGATATTTGTAATCCAATAAACTACGTAAAGTGCATAAACTTGCAACAGTTTCAACAAGTTCTTAAAGACTACAAAGAAAAATTACAGATCTCGGGCGTCTCTTTAGTTTGTACCAAAATTTTCCAGACCTTACACAAGGTTACAAATATCCGAGTGAATATGCATAAAATTCAGAAACTTTCGGTCTAAATTTCTCTCCAAAATTCGTGATGACGAATGTTCAAAATTTATTTAATAATAAGAGAAAGCTCTCTGCAGTAGTTTTACAAGTCATGCCCTTCCCACCCTTTTCTAATGAATTTGTACCTTTGAAGTCGACGATGCATGTCAGAGCAATCTGTGCCCGGCCAACTTTCACCAGCCAGCCAGCCACTCGTTAAAAGTGACTAATTAATAATTACTGAAAGGGTGACACAAAGGGGGCCTCGCACTCTTTTCCTTCCAGACGACTGAAGGGAGGACAAATTTGGGCTAAAATGACACAATGTGTACAAGGAAGGGATCATTTTCAACTTTGTTAGCTAATTTGTCAAATTTGACTTCTTGTCAGGCTGGATTGTGTAGTAGGAACGTTTGGTGTCTCAATTTTGAAGAAAATCTTTATTATTAAAAGTTATGTAAGGAGCAGATTTTTTAACAAGTTTTTCAAAATTCCAATGTCAAGTATTTGATTTTTAGCTTCATCTTAAGACAATTTATCATAAATTATTAATAGTTACTACTAATTTCAAATTTGACTTCTTATGAGTTTAAATGTATTTACAAAACATATAATTTAAATATAGTTTTGCCATATTTATCTATTCATTTCTTTTTACATTCCATTTCCTATTTTATTCAACTTTCTGTCCGATTTCTCATATCGAATTTCTATGCGAATCAAAATCTACAAAATACCCATATTTCTTTTAATCAATTGTTGATTTCTTAACAATTTTTCGTCAAACATGCGCTTCTCTTATTACCTTTAATCTTGAAAATTTCGAATTTTATGTTATGATTTGATGCCATATGAGAAACTTTGGACAATTGATAAGTAAATGACTGAACTCAGATTGCCGGTGTCCTCATCAATTATTAATGAGGAAATACTTTATGAAAACGTTTGTCAACCCATTTTTCGATTTTCAAGCATTTCAAGGAAATTTCGTACTATGACGTGACGAATTTCATTTTAGTGCCAAATAAAAAGTGAACTTTAGTTGTACATATAACTTTTCTTCGTGTAAATTTTTGGGATTAAGAAAATCGTGATGAAATACATTTTCAAAACTTGAAAAATTTAGTCCAAAATTTTAGCAAATTTCACTTCTTTTTCCTTAAAATTTACGTAATCCATGTTACACTAATCCTTACGATTTAAATAAGTTTGTTATTTCAGTCCGATATTTATTCGTCTCTCGATCTTTCATTTCATTTCACTCTTCCCTCGCACATATATTTCTGAAAATGGGTCTCAATCTGGCGTCATCCTTGTTTGAAGTGGATTTAGATTTGAATGAATGGAACGACGACCCCGAGTTACAGACTGTGCATGAAACGTGGGATCGATTTTCATAGAATTTTGACCCTGCCGCCCTGAAGAGGCCGTGATCACATGCTTAA